ATACTCAAGTAAAAGTACAGATATCTTACCAGAAAATGACTTTGGTAGACGTTGAAGTCACCGTTTAGAATATTACTTGAGTAAAGTCTTAAAGTGTGTGATATTTATTGCACTTAAGTACGAAAAGTATTATTTTAATCTTAAACGTACTTAAGTATTGAAAGTAAAAGTACAAGTAAATGCAAAATGGAAAAGAAGCAAATAAATATATATAAAAATGTTCATACACAGCTTGAGTAGCAAGATTGTGTTCAGTTTTAACTCTTTCTTCCATTTTGTATTTTTGGGTAAGAATAAGAAGCACTTGAGTCTTTCATTCCAACACAAGAAAACATTTCTGGAACCTACATCTGAACTGGCATTTAAATGTATTTACACAGTTTAATGTATCTCAGAGGGGACATGGATGCATTTAACCTGCCGTTACAGATGCATAAACAGGCCTAATGTTTTGTTTTTAACATAAAACGTTGAATACTGATACTTGAAATAATTTAAAACATGAAAAAAATAGTCGAAATGTGAAATTAAAACCGCCAGTAACTGACAGCAAGTGACTGTTAATGAGTGAGTCATTGAGATTCAACCAATTTATTCAAACGACAAAGCATTTTTTCTGTATAACATGTGAGTGAATCACTGAATCATATTCAACCGATTCGTTCAAAAAGCTGATTCATTCAATAAGTAAACACCGCCCATTGCTCAGAGACGCAAAACAGTGCTGTGATCTTTGTTTGGAACTATATTTGTTAGCGAAATTGCGCAAAAACAAGCAATATTATGTCTAAAATGTAAGTCACTTATTGTATTACTGAACTTGTATAAAATGGTTATTAAATGTGTTCATGCTGATATCTGCAGAAAAATGGTACTCTGTGTGATATAGATGAAGTTAACTATATTAAATTATATAAATATAAAAAGAACACAGAAGCATTTTTGCCGTCTACAATTTAGAATACCAGGAATTTTGAGTTTTAATAGATTAATAAATCAACGTGCGTGCACTCTGTGTGTGATTTGGTGATTACCTAGTAACCTAGACGTTACTTGATAATGTCAGATCGCACAACACCACTTACCATATTATCGCAGACAATGCTGTGTATCGCACACCCCAGACTTGACTTACATGGAAAAAATGAATCATCCACGGTTGTGCGCGCACTTGTTTGGTTTGCACATGAGCAAAGGTGCTTTTAGGAGTCTAACTTGCAAACGCCAGACCACTGATTCGTCAAACCTGCTTTCCTGCAGTCCGTGTTCTTCTGACTTCTGACTATTTTGTAGTTAGTAACGAATATGCTTCGGGGAAATGTATCGGAGTAAAAGTATACATTTTAATTAGGAAATGTAGTGGAGTAAAAGTAAATGGTGCCTGAAATATAAAAACTCAAGTAAAGTACAGATACTCCCAAAAAATACTTAAGTACTATAACGAAGTATTATTACTTCGTTACAATACACCACTGAATGCATAACATATTAAAGCTTCTTTGGTGTTTCCTTGTCTACATAACAAAACCGGAAATCAAGGGTGTATGACGTCATTGGCAGGCGACGCAATGGACTAAAATAACTATTTCTCTGGATTTAAACATTCTTCGAAACATTTGGTATAATGTAAGTACACAAGTCAACAAAATATGTAACTCTGTTCTAATGATTTCTGGATATTTTAATAAAACAATCTTGCATATTGTGCCTTTAATTGTGGAGCTTAAAAAGTTTCTCCTTTGGCATCAGAGTGTCAAATTTGAAAGGGTGTTGGAGTAACTTTTGCAAAGCTTTAAAAATACATCTAAATTGCCAACAAATTGTCAGTAAAAAGAAGCTGATAATGTAGCACTTTTAACCACAAAAATAATCTATTCTCAATTGTAACTTAATGGCATCATTTCTTTCTAAACTTCTCTGTAAGCAAAGGGTTAATCCAAGATACGTGGCAAGAATCAGGAACCAGGAAAACAGGCAAGGCAAAACGATGACTACACTATGCAAACTAGAGCAGGCTCCGTAAAGTAGCTATCAGCTATCACAGTGATAAACGCTAAACAATACTCGGCCAAGAATGGTGTTTGAGTGAGTGTTAGATAGTGAATGTGTGTGTGCTGTGTGCAATCAGTGCTGTGTGCAATCAGTGCTGTGTGCAATCAGTGCAATGGCTGATGGGATATGTTCGCCGCCATTTTGTGAGCGTGCTCTAGTGTGGCCGCCATTTTGCGAATGGGCTCCGCTGTCGCCGCCATCATGCGAGCGCGTTCTGGTGCGGCCGCCATTTCACGAGCGGGTTGCATCACCAGAGTAGCGATCAGTGAACTTGAATATCCCGGAGCTTGTGGTTGATTAAACTCAGCAGCCACCATTACATGCACAGACGCAGTATCACGTTCTTCCTCCGTGATACCCACAGTCCACAAAGAGCCAACAGTCAATAAAGCATAATCCATAAACTCACATAGTGACGAACGCGGACCCTCTCGAATGAGCTTTGACTTTACTGGCTGATTAATGCCCTCGCAGAAAAAGTCTATCAGGACACAGTCTGGCAGATCAGAGAAATAAGATAGATCTAAATACTCTTGTACATAGTCCTCGAGCGTTCGCGTGCCCTGCTCGAGGGCTAATAATAGTCTTGCCATATCCATACCTGGCCAATGTCCGTGTGAAAAGCTGCTGGATCCTTGTGTGGCCGAGTATTCTGTTACGGGGTTGACAAGATGTGAGACGTGCGGATCCATGTGCAAGCTTTTACTGAAAGCAGAAGAGGTCAGAAACACAGGCAGGGTCGAACAATGGCAAACAGGTATATGGCGGGCAAGACACAAGAATAATCCTAGGGCTAGCGTGGGTCTTCGATCGGCGAACAGTTTCCAGAGGGCTTGACAAGAGGGGTAATCCGTAAACGTGAGCAAAAGTGCAGGCGAGGAACAAACACAGTCCGAAAACAGCAAGCAAAGGGTTAATCCAAGATACGTGGCAAGAATCAGGAACCAGGAAAACAGGCAAGGCAAGACGATGACTAGACTATGCAAACTAGAGCAGGCTCCGTAAAGTAGCTATCAGCTATCACAGTGATAAACGCTAAACAATACTCGGCCAAGAATGGTGTTTGAGTGAGTGTTATATAGTGAATGTGTGATTGATGTCAGCTGTGTGCAATCAGTGCTGTGTGCAATCAGTGCAATGGCTGATGGGATATGTAGTCCGGGATGACATGCAACAGTTTGTGTTGTGCGAGAGTCAATTTAATGAAAGGGTGACCTCTGGTGGTGATTGAACGGAAGTCCATGGACAGGATTTGTGACAGTATTAAGCACTGTTATTAGGGTTGATTCTAAACCATCTTCACAGCAGACGACGAAGTGCACAGTCAAAGACTTCAATAAAAAGTCATCTAGCATAATAAATGAATGGATTTTTATTTATTTTTTTTTAGCACAGGAGAAACTGTTCTATGGAAGACTACAGTGCGTAATTGGAGCTTTCATCATTGTTTTGTCACAAACTTCATATCTGAAAACGAACACTTTTCCACATTAAAGTCACAAGAGGGTGGATCTTATTTTATGCCTCTGGTCATGTTATACAGAGCAATCCAAAAGTCAGAGACAACACTTAAAGTCTGACATTTCTTTGATTTAAACCTGGAAATGAACAGAAAGCTTTTGGGTCAACATCAACAAAAGCTGTCTTTACATTTTTAAAGGTGGAAAACAAGCTGCATCTGACATGGCATTTATGTTTATTTAATACTATAAATATATAATACATAAATCAATATATAATACATATTTTTATTTAATGCTCATTTTTCACATTTAATTTTAATCATAACAGTGATAATAGGTATAGTTTTTGTGAATAGGTTGTATATCTATTCAGGAATGGTGACTGGCTCCTTGTCTGATTAATAGCCTTCATGCAAGTCCCTAGAAACTTGTATTTCTCAGCAACAAAGGGCAGAGACAGATATATAGACATGTGGGTGTTGAGAGACCAAGAATACTTGCATAATAAAGACCAGCCGAAGAACTCGGAGTGCCCCTCAATCTGCCAGTGCCTCCACACTGAACTCTATTGATGTTTCTATTCTGAAACTCCTGCCTGCCTCTATCCGTTAGTACATCATTGTGTCAGAACACACACACACACATGCACATCTCTATATTATATATATCTATATACTATATATATTTATTGCACAGTTTTTCTTCTTGGTTTTGCTTGGTTAGCAGCATCCTGTTGTCAAATATTTTTATAATGACCAATTTTATAATGACTGTGTACTTATTTCTATGTATGTATTTTTTCAGCTTGATGTTGTCTTCTTTTGGCTGAGCTTATTTAGTCATTCCTGACAGTCTGTTTTTGTTTTGAACAGGTATCATCTCTGTGAACAGCCGTCGGACTCCATTCACAGCCAGTGGAGAGAATGAGATTCTAGACCTGGAGGGTGACCTATATCTCGGAGGTCTGCCAGACAACCGTGTTGGCCTGGTTCTTCCCACTGACCTGTGGACCGCTATGCTGAACTATGGCTATGTGGGGTGCATCCGTGATCTCTTCATAGACGGACGCAGTAAAGACATTCGCCAGATCGCAGAGGTACAGAACGGAGTCGGAATTAAGCCGTCCTGCAGCAAAGTAACAGGCAAACAGTGTGACAGTAACCCCTGCAAAAACAACGGCATCTGTAAAGAGGGCTGGAATCGCTTCATCTGTGACTGCACCGGGACCGGATACTGGGATCGAACCTGTGAGAGAGGTGAGTGAAGCCATTAGCTATGTTTCCATCACCCTGTTTTTATGCACATTTTGAAGTATCGCATCAGAAACGAGGGATGAAAACGCCAAATTCTGAATAAACATCCTTTAATTTGCAAAAGAGTTTTTATGCTTGCTTGAGGTGGATTTTGACTTGTGGGAAAAAGGGTTAATGCGAATAATGGGAGAAGGAAATGCATTTGTTAAGTTAACTAAGTTAAATTCGCAACTTTGGATGGAAACCCGACTGTTGTTTGTCTTGCGTAGCCTGACTTTCTGTCTGTTTTTTGTCTGTGAATGGACCATGATTTAATATAAGGTAACTTAATAATAAAATATCTGGTCTTACACAATATGTTTCCGCTGCAAACGCCATCTTCTGGCAAGATGCAGGAATTCATTCAACACAATCTTCACAGTGCATTATAGGTATTCTATAGCCATGTGCACTGTTTGTACAGTCATTATTGCGGCGCATGATGGGCCTGAATGAATAATGTCCACTATGGTTTCAGACACAGCAAAAATGTCTGTCCCACTGAAATAATGCACCACGTAAGAGCATTGGGTGCAATTTCAGACAAAGACTCTGATTAATGACTTAACTGTTGGTGGTTATGTTTGAATATATGGAAACATTCTTTATATGATATTTATTTACTTCTTTATATCATAAAAACTGCTCTGTAGTGCTTGCTGTTTTTGGCAGTGACCCAAAAACTTTTTTTTTTAATGCAGGCAACAAAAATCTAGCGTAGCGTTAGTTCTGGCAGGTCACGTTAGTCAAGCTCACATCAGCTGACTCTCAGCTGATCCCCATCAACCTATGGGAATACGACACCTATCGAAGCATTCATATATAAGGTCCCTCAGTATTATCAGCAGTTTTCCCATTGCGCAATAGCTAATTACGCTCCTCCATCCCCAGCTCCTCCTCTGTCAGTCAGGATTCAGCCTTCTGATTCTCCTTTGAATCAGACTAATTCTAAAATGTGTACATAACATTATTGAACTTTAACGATATCTGCAATACATTTATGTTGGTTCTGTTCTGTTTACCCTGGGGGGTTACTCACCCTGCTGGACATCGCTTTTTTTCTTACCTGAGGTGAAAATTGCATTCAGACTGCGATAGCAGATGTTTGATTAAATAAGTGTGCATCACTAATGTCGTGTTCATTATTGTAAATTACAAGAATGAATCATCAAATACCATGCTGTATTGTCGGAACAGCATCATTAGGGAACTTAATGAATGAAATATTACTTTCAAGATTATTTACCCTTCACATGTGGAAGATTTTCTTTCATTCTAAGTGTGAAATAATTACACCATCTGAGAGAGTCAGAAACTATTTTGTTTCCTCTGGTGGTCCGTTTTCAGCTGCGGAGCAGATGTTATCTGTTGCTGTGTTGTGATGTAGACTTCCACACATATTTAAACACACTCTAAAAAGCTTTCTGCTGTTCTCTTCATCTGTCGAGTTGAACATCCTGTGTCACTCGACATGCAATTAAAGCAGGCCTGGTTTAGGGACACCTGCCTATCAAACTCAGAAGCTCTGATTTCTTAGAAATGCAACTTTGGGATTTTAGTTCCAGGAAAGTGGCTTTACTGATTCAGGTGGATCTTTTATTAGAAGCTGTCTGCGTTATACGCTCATGAATTACTTTCCTCAGCCCTTGATTGACAGACTCTCCTCTCCCATAATGGAGAGCTGCTTTTACAGATCTGCTCAGATCTATCCAGAGTTGCATTAAGAGTTAATGCACTTTAGAACACGGTGGTTTTATTTATAGCTCAGATGAAATGATGTCGTCATTTTATGCAGTATGCGCAGAGGTGAAATGAAGGTCTAGTGGTATTGCTTTAACATAAAAAAGATACATGCTTTCTAAAGATAAATGTGCTTGTAATAGGACTGTCTACAGAGTTAAAAATGCAATTTAAATGTAATTTTTTTTTTACACAATATGCCCATTAATTAAAGAAATAGGTCACCCAAAATATGTGACACGTGAAATACGTCAACACATGATAATTTTTAATTGCTAGTTATGTCATGTTATTGTTTTTTCAGCATCTCACGCCATGAGCATTGTCTTTAAGAAGCTGTGTCAGGTTGAATTCATTAATTTATTATTTTTATTTCTTTTGTCTTATGTATTTGTTTGTAACTGATCTCATCTCATGATTTGGTTGAGTTTATGCAAATGGAATCAAAGTAAATGAGCATTAAGCTCAAAGAGCACCTGAACTGATCAGAATGAGATGCCAGTTTGGTCGTTCAAATATTTGGATGCTGATGTGTCTTTCATTCATGCTGATTTCAGTGGGGAGTCCTCTCTTGTCTTTGACAGCGCATTGGATCTGGGAATGAGTCTCCTACACTCTTTAAGCTCCTCAGAGACAGGCAGCAGGCGGTTGTTGCCATGGTAGCTGGTCACCTGATTGTGTCTTTGCCAATAGGGATTCCCCATTTATAACATACTGTGTTGCTGGAATTCTTATCAGGGCGTGTTGCATGTGTGTGTGTGTTTACAGTGTGTTCGGATGTATTATAATGTTTAAATAAGTTTGATTAGCAGACGTGCATTTTCCCCCAATATAGTGCATTGCTTCCCATGGGATCATTATCGTTCTGTGTTATATCTTATCTCTACTTGTGTGTGCGTGTGGTTGTTTGTTGGAAAGAGGGGGTTTGAGCTTCCTCCCGTGTAGCCCTGGGGACGGGGGTATGAGTCAGGAATGAGTCAGAGAGTCCCCCTCCCTGCCCTGCCCTCACACACACATACACATACACATACACATACACACACACACACACACACACACACACACATACACACACACACACACACACTCTATGACATACTGAGATGGAAGGAGAAATGGCAGATACTCAATTTATCACAGTGGGCTGAATGTATTTTCAAATGCATAGACAGACTACCTTGATGACATAAAATACACATGCACAGATATTAAATCTAATTTAATTAAGTTAGATTATACATATATTATTGTGTTTTACATTTTATAATTTATATATTACAAAATGTAAAAAAAACAAAAGAGCTTTTACCAATTTTCTGAATAATGATTGTGATGAAAATCTAAATCCTGTCATCATTTACTCACCCTCAAGTTGTTCCAAACCTGTATACCCGCTATAAAGAAGATATTTTTTTAAGAAAGTGTGTAACCAAACAGTTGCTGGTAGCCATTGAATTCCATGGTAGATTTTTCCCCATACTGTGGCTACCAGCAATTTTGGTTACCAACATTTTTCAAAACATCTTCTTTAGCAATCAACAGAAGAAATAAATGTATACATTCATACAGAACAACATGGGGGTGAGTAAATTAAACTATCACATTAATGTTTGTTAAATATTGTTATAAATTGATGAGAATATGCTCCTTAGCTCATACTTTAAATATGGGAACAAACATTTGTTAAAAAGAGGCCTCCAATCAGTTGATACTTGGTAAAAGGGTTAAATGTTCTATTGAACCATTATTATTGCTTGTATAAAATAAAATATGTTTGTTCCACATTTGATAATGTGCCACTGTGAGAACATTTTTATATTTAAACACCAGCTTTATTAGGAACCATTAACTCTCTTCACAATGCCTTGTTGAATAATGTCTCACAAACACTTATGTTCATCTCTAAATTATTCTCAAAAATCAGCCTACGTTCTCTAAAACCCACTCTTAAACTTTTATGTTTTTTTTTTAACTAAATTAACCCACCTACACATTTTTTTTTTTTTGCTGTGTATTCTCTTATATTTTGTTGTGCCATTGTGCCAATGCTGTGACCCAGATTTCTGGCCACTGATGGCTGTTTGTATAGTTATGCACCTGTCATCTCACTATCGGCTGCATGAGTCTCTGTCTATTTTGCATTTTTCCATTGACAGGTCATTCATCCAATTCAGAACGCCCTTCATTTGCTGTACAGGACCAGAAGGGTCGACGATGTGCGAAACGTGACATCATCGCCATCACCTGTCATATCTGGCATCTATGCTCTAAAATAATTTCTGGGACAGCCCGCTGTTCACCTGCCAATGTCAATCTGCGGGTTATAACAATAATGAACCATCTGCCTTGCGAGGTCAAGTTGCTTTGGAAGGAGTAGTGTCTCACAGCTTCTTTGTTCCTGCTGGTTTGTCTCATCTCTGCGGGCATCCGATGGAACAAACACCCTAGTTCAGTGTGCCTACGACTTTCATCATCCCCCCTCGAGGATCACAAATGACTCTCCGGATGTGTAATAAGACGCTGCGCATGGATGGCCGTCTCAGCCACTGTGAACGAGGCTGGGCCAATCTCACATCAAGAGCTCTGAGTTAAGTACGATGACAGCCACGCTATTTGCCCTTGACTTTGTATTCCTGTTCTTCCTTATTTATTTTACATCAGGCGCAAAAAGAAGATGTGACTAGTGCCGCTGGAAAGAAAAGCTGTGATATTTGGTGACGTGGAAGGGTCTGGTGACTCTGAATGAGTTTGGGTAAGTGTGAAAATACACGTCTGAATAAAGCAGATGACAGTAAGCTCTGTTACATCCTGTCAGCGTGTCACCATGCACACATGTTGAGACATACAGACAGTACACAATATGAGATAAGCTGTGTTCTTTACTGAACATTATGAACTTACATAAATGTATGTAAGACATCATGATGAGCAAACATTGACAAATATATATTACATTATTCATCGTGCACATCCAGGGGACAATTAAATTGTGTTATTTAAGTGTCAACGTAAATATCTAATGAGTAAAAAGAAAAAGTCCTGCTCATTTTATTATAAATGTTTTGGATAGTTTAATCTGGTTTATTCTAAAAGGTGAAATAAAAATAAATACTAAAGTGATACAAAAATAAATGTTTTTTTAAATGATTTTTTATACAGTAGCATTTGAGATCAATAAATTTGACGAGGGTGGCATTGCTTAGATAATTGTTGAAAAAAAGTTC